CAAAATGTAGGTAATGTAAAAAAATAAATATTTCTTTACTTTTTTGTTTATAATTTTGTTTATATACAGGGTGAATTGCTACTCGTGCTACAAACTTCTCCAGTAGATTCTTCACCCTAAAATGAACAAAAAAGTTCATATTGTCCATGGTCCGATTCTCAACCATTTCAGAGTAATTTCGCTTTTTATCGATTTTGAAAGATATCACGTCCTGGCGTCGGAAAATCGTGATATCTTTTAATCTAAACATTTCTCTGAAAATCTAATAGCACCGTTGAAATTCCCGTTAATTTTTCAATAAGAAGATGACGGTGGCAAAATGTTTGGGCTAATTTTTTGTGTTTTATTTCAGCCAGAACTACAAAAAGAGTGGAAAATTGTGTAAATCGGAAAGTGTATAAAGTAATCCAGAGTTTCTAATTTTAGTCTCAGAAGGCAGCAAATTTGAGGAAAACTACCTGATTTAATAACGCTTCCAACGCACTCGTCATTTTCTTATTTAGTGGTTGTGAGACCAAGATGTTGATGACAAAAAGAGAAAAAATGGTGGTTCAAGGATTGCTAATGTTTGAGAGTGACTTGCTACTCGTGCTACAAACTTCACCAGTAGATTCTTGACCCTAAAATGAACAAAAAAGTTCATATTGACCATGGTCCGATTCTCAACCATTTCAGAGTAATTTCGCTTTTTATCGATTTTGAAAGATATCACGTCCTGGCGTCGGAAAATCGTGATATCTTTTAATCTAAACATTTCTCTTAAAATCTATAAGCACCGTTGAAATCCCCGTTAATTTTTCAATAAGAAGATGAAGGTGGCAAAACGTTTGGGTCTTTCTTCCTTGACCTTCTAGCTGTTTGTAAACTTCTTAAGCATTACATACTAAATGGGCATTAAATTAAATTAAAAAATTTCAATGGAATTATGATTTTGATTCTCTCTAAAAATTAACGGGGATTTCAACGGTGCTTATAGATTTTAAGAGAAATGTTTAGATTAAAAGATATCACGATTTTCCGACGCCAGGACGTGATATCTTTCAAAATCGATAAAAAGCGAAATTACTCTGAAATGGTTGAGAATCGGACCATGGACAATATGAACTTTTTTGTTCATTTTAGGGTGAAGAATCTACTGGAGAAGTTTGTAGCACGAGTAGCAATTCACCCTGTATACTAAAAATTGTTTACGTATCTACCTATAATTCAATCACTTATACTTTCGATCTAAGGTCTTGGTTGATATGAAAAAGTAATTGATTTGTCTATAATTCTACCCTTAACATCATCATCATTAATATATATTTCATATTTCAGATTTAAAGACGGACTACTCAAAAATAGTACTAGTCACGTACGAATACTTAACTGCAAGACTGATTTTTTGAAACATGAAGTTCTCCTAATTGTTACTTTATTTGCAAATATTCTTGTTAGCCGATATGATGAAAGATTTAGAAGTTTAAGGCAGTATCTCAACTTTACTGTAAAATCTTTATCTAGGCTACATTAGTTTCTAATAAAAATGGGGAATAATCTTTTTTTTTTACTAGGTCTTCCGACATCTAGGTCGTTTCAGCCCCCAACTAAGTCTATATTCTATTTACCCTTTCAAACACTACATTCATGCAAATAAATATATCCATACAGTACACTCATTCCGTTTGGTCGGTGGAGTACTTGATAGTCCTCCACCGACCTATACTCAAACTAATCTAGATTGGGGTCGATGGAGTACTTTTATAAATATTCCGCCATCGACCCCGAACACACACTCATACGCTCTCAAAGTTCGCGGGGCGATGATGACGTTATATTTCACCCTCGCCATTCACGCTAATAAATACATGCACGGTATAGTCAGACAAAACATAGACACACAACACGTAAGACATATTATATACAATAAAAAAAACAAAAACAATTTCCCCTAAAAAGCGGAACAGGGGACCCAGAAACCCGCTAGTACCATTTCCAGATTGGATGGCATGTCTACACGCTCCCTGTAGGATCCAAGGCATGACATGTTTCCAGTATGTAGGACACATCGAGCAACCTTTCTCTGGATAAGGGGCATCTGCCCGTGTGTCAACCGCGTAGTGCCTATTCTTAATCGCATAAGGACGATCTCTTGTTTCCGGCACAGGTTCTCGGGGGGGGGGGCCATCTACGAATCGTGCTCTTGACGCGCAAAAGCCTCTCGGACGACCTGGCCCACTGACGCTGCCATCTTTCTTTTATCATGTTCTTTACTGTTCTTTCTCTTATTTAATCGTCTCTAAAGTAAACAACTTCTTTTCTTCTTCTCGTCTACAACAATAAATTCCAATAAGTCATAATGACAATGAAAGGCAAAGACAAGTGGATAATTGGAACAAGTGATTTTAATACATATATTCATTAATCTCTCAACACTTTCACACAACACGAATATAGCACTACAGGAATAACACCACATTTTATGCCCTGAAGATGACCCGAATAAAGGTCGAAACGTCGGCAAAAAATTAAAAGGGTGTTTTTCTAAAATACCTTATTCTTGACTGCTCCTGGTCTGGTTGACATTAAAATCGTGTTAGCAGTTTTTGAATTCGGATGAAATCCGTTTCAAGTAGATATTCCGATAACGATTTCTCAAAAATCGGAAACATTTTAGCGGTTAAAAAATCGATAACTTTAAATTCAAACAAAAATTTATATTTATGGTGTAAGCCGGCCCCCGTCTTAGCGATAAGTTAAATTGTAAAATAAGAACAAAATAGGTAAACGAGGAAAAGGGACAGGGGCTGTGCTTTGAAGGGGCAACCGCCCAGACGGGAACGACGTGACACATCTGGCAAATGTAGCTTGGAAATGGTTACCCAGGTAGACATTTAGGTAAGAACGGGGGACATCGTAAATTGGGAATACGTCAACCCTGTGCTAGACCGCCGTCTTTGCCGGCTCAGCCGCGGCGTGAGAACTCCCCCGACTTTTGAGTTTCCTTTCCAACCCTACTCCGGGAGAGACCCGGTATAAAAGGGATGACTGGAAAATCAAAAGTCAGTCAAGATACAAGACCTCACCCCAGTGAGTCAAGATACAACACTCACTCCAAGCAGACAAGACCAAGGACCGGGAGAGAAGCAGCCACACTCCGTTTGGGATTCAACAAGAGGACTCAGCCAGCGAGGAAATACCGCTTCTTACCTCCGGCCTTCTGAACAGTGATAGATCTGTTGATACGTTTGACGGTGTGCCTTTATAACAAAGACGAAAAAAAATTAATAATTGAAAAGTTTAGGTAAATAAAGGTTCACCAACAGGATTTTTTGATGATCATATGTCTAGCATGTTTAATGTGTTTTAAATGTTAAATATTTAATATGTTGTAAAGAAATTGCCAAGTTCATTTTATAACTGCATCAAACATTAAATTCGGACTATTATTTCCATAAGAAAGTCGTTAATTCCTTACAAATAATTTTGTTATTTTCTATATTTTCTAATAATTTTATATTTTATTTATTATATATAATTCATAAGTTCGTAAAAAAATTCGACCTTCTTCATTCAAATAGTCTGGCGTTAAAATCCTATTAGTCCTTTTTTGAATTGTAAACGTTTCAATCAGATATTCCGTTAAAGACTTCTCAAAAATTGGAAAAACGTTAAGTGTCAAAAAATCGATAAATTTAAATTCAAACAAAAATTTATATTTAGGGGTGTCTCTAGAGGTGCTAAAAGGAAACGTACCTACAAATGGAAGGGATAACCAGAAGACTCACTGCACCTTACTGTCCGCAACAAAATGGAGTTGCCGAACGTCACAACCGTACGATAATGGAAATGGCCAGGTGCCTATTGAATGAATATAATCTAAATCATTCTTTCTGGGCTGAAGCAGTAAATACTGCATGCCACATTAGGAATCGTTGTCCGAACGGGCCCGACAGAAGAACTCCTTACACGAAATGGACTGGCAAACACACCTCGGCAAAATACTCCAGAAAGTTTGGTAGCAAGGCTTACATCTTAAAAAACGGGCCAAGGAACAAACTCGACATGAAAGCCGAAGAATGTATTTTTGTAGGATACTCGGACGAATCAAAGGCATATCGCGTTTGGCTACCTAAACAGAGAATAGTAAAAATCTCGAGAGACATTAAATCCGTTGAAAGAAAAAATACAGAGAAAGAAGATAAGTCAACCCAAGATCTCAAAAAGGACGAGGATTTCAACAGAAATATTGAAGTTAAAATTAAAGGAAATCGTCCGGCCACTCAAGATCAGCAACTGACTGAAGAAACCGAACTTCAAGAAGGTGAAGAAGGAGATGAAGAGGAAAGTGAAGAAGTCCAAGAAGGTGAAGAAGAAGATAAGATGGAAGTGAAGAATCGGAGAAGAACGAAGAAAAGAAGAACAAGCACAGAGGAAAGGGCGCGGAAGACCCTGCATACAACGGACAGGAAAGAGAGGAAGACCCAAAAAGATCTACAAGCACTTCGAGGACAATCAGTCGAGGAATACCACGGAAGAAGAAACAACAAAAAACGACATACCGACTGAAGATAGTGCGAACTTCGTTGGACCCTCTATCAACGAGGCTCTTAACAACTCACTCTGGAGAAAAGCCATAATTGAAATACCTATCAACTCAAGAGATGCCGGCGGACGTCTTAACGAAGCCACTCACCAGGCACAAGCACAACACGTGCATAGCAAGGATGGGCATGGATGTATCTTCGAGGGGGAGTGCTGAAGGAGCCGCCGAACACTCATTAATCGATTAGTCTGTTGTATGTATCGATAGGCGGCGCGACCGTCGGTTCTAGTCTAGTCTTGTACATGTACTCTCGCAATAAAGTTCTTTTGTTCTCAACAGTGTTTTAATAGATTCTAATAAAAACTAGGATATTCATTGGTAAAGCAAACAACTTTTTTCGAGTTCGTTGTGAAAAGTTCTTAGAAGATAAATTGGGACAAGAGATTTTTAACGATATTAATCATCATGAATTAGACCGGGAGAGCGCGTACGCAGTCCCGACTACCAAAAATTAAGTTGCGCCCGAGATATCCGCATTTGGGATATTCGCAGAGGTCAGCCAAGCCGTAGTGCAGTGGAAGGCCTCGCCCTGGGGGAACCGCCTTAGTGATCACGGTAACCCCGATGCCAGGTAAGTATGCTTTACATTGGATACAGCGGGGGTCATAAGCCAGCTCTATAGTTCGACTCAGCGGGAAATACTGCGTCTTACCTCAGGCCTTGTGGGATGGTTAGGGACTGTCAAAAAACTGAACGAATTGTGTGACTATGATTTTTCGATTTTTCTTCAAAACTTATCTCTTGGAAAATTTGTTAAGACAAATTTATGAAAAATTCCCGTCTGCCGTGAGGTTTTGTTTGATAAAAATAGGTCTGTTGTAAATAACTTAAGATCTGTTTAAATAACTTAAATGTTCTATCGTATAATGTCAATGGCTTAAAATCCGAAGTAAAAGATAAGCATTTCCTTAATTTCATAAATGATGTTGATATTTTTGTTTTAATAGAGACATTTGTTACTGAAGAGTTTTGATTCTTTGAATGTATTTTTTGGAGGGTTTAAATTAAAATGGATAAGTGCTATTAAAGAATCTCATATAGGTCGTCCCACAGGGGGGGTGCCTTTATGGATTTAAAAAAGTTCTAAGTTGCAAAGCTAATTTTACTTCTCAAAAATTGGAAAAACGTTAAGTGTCAAAAAATCGATAAATTTAAATTCAAACAAAAATTTATATTTAGGGGTGTCTCTAGAGGTGCTAAAAAGAAATATCATGTTAGTTGCACGAAAAAATTATGACCTTGTTTACTTGCTTTTACTATATTTTTATTTCACATAAAAAATGTAAAATGATATATTCCCATAGTTGATTTGAACAAGCAGAACTTCGAAATAAAAATATTTAAAAAAGAATTGCCACTTTCAAAAAAGGCTTTTTGTCGTAACCAGCGCCTATTAGTTTGTCCGATATTTTGGAATGTAGAATCACCAAAAAGGTTTGATACGAATCCGTGACCCACCAGGTTGGTCGTCCACTTTAAATATAAGTGTAGTATCACAGGTTGTACCAATAAAAAGTTTAAAAAACAAAGCGGCATAAACCGGGATGAGTGTTGTTTATTTGATAGGTGATCGTTTTTCTTCCAATACAACGACAGTACTTTTCCCTGCGATCGTACTTTATCCGAAAATGTAAATTCTAACATTTTCGTTAAAAAATCTTTACAGGCACCCAAAGTGACAGGAATTCTGCATTTTTCTTCCTCTAGATTTACATATCTGTGCAACTTGACCATGCTATTGTAAGTGTCTTGATTTCCGGCAGAAAGAATTGTTTTGTATACATGAGAGCTGGAGGTTGGCAGGAAGTAATATAGTAGTAGTAGTAGTAGTACAATAATATTTTATAAAAACTGAAAGATTGTGTAACTTATGTGAAAATTAAATTACTGGTCTATATTAGTTTCTAATAATAACTGGGAATATTCGTTTGTTATGAAAATTACTTAGCAAACAATTGGGAGAAGCGAGGAGGAGTCCTTCAACCTGATGGTGAGCTAAAGGGCTCGAAATCCGGATCGTTGCAAAACAACTTACTGTGAGTGGGAACTATCTTTTTAAAAAGGAAAGTTTAGGTAAGTAAAGGCTCAGCAATAGGAATTTTTGATGATCATGTGTCTGGCACGGTTGCATGGCCTGATAAGCTTCGCCTCTAGATGGCAGCACGGTCGATAAAATTTGCAGCTACACAGAAGTCTAGATGGGATAATTAATGTACAGTATTATCAAAAAGAACAAATTCTATAAGGAGTGTTTTATGGCAGAAAAGAAAGAATACAACAAATATGAGTTGAACAAAATCCCACGTATATAAACACAAAACAGCAATATCTCACTGGCACTCTCAACACGACACACAAGAATGGCACAATTACGCAGAAAACAAACACTTGAATTGACAATAAAAAATATTTATTTGAATTGTATAAATTCACTTTTTTTCACCTCCTACATGTTTTTGTTAAATTTAAACAATGTTTGTAAATCCCAGGCCCTGAAGATGATCTCAATAAAGATCGAAACGTTGGCACGACAAAGAAAATGTTTTTCTGAAACCTACATCTCACCAGACCGCATCTCACGATTTCTGAATAATAATATTTAATTTCATATTAATAAAAAGAACTGTGAAAGATTGTTTAACTTATGTTAACAGGTCGAGTAGGTTAATTATATTTGGAAAATAATCGTAAATCGAATCAGCTCATTAAAGAGCACAAATGATTTTTAAATTATTCTAAGCAATCGCGACAAACAATGACAAAGCTGTCAATGGAAAGAAACAATCGGATGTGAATAAAAATGAAACCGGTCAAACGAAGAACCGACTTAAGTATTCCAAAATAAATCTTTCAATAATTACATAATTATACGTGACAAAAGTATTCCACGATTAAAATAATATGTACTGTAAAAATACGTTTATGGTGTCGTTTTTATTTTTGTATGGTTATCCTCCTACTATTTTTCGATAGGGTTAACTTGTTAACGTGTTACTACTAAAACCAACACCACGGACAAGATGAAACTCATTCTCCTTTTACTTTAGTTGTTATTGAATTTATGTAAATGGGGGGAGGTATTTATTGAACTTCGCAACTTCTTTGTTTTACTTTCAATGCCAACAAGTATTTTGGTACTACTGCCGGTACAAGGCTAACAAACAAGAAATGTATTGTTAATTAGCTCAATTATGTAAAAGCATATCTGTAAATTGCAAATGTAAAAGTTTTTTTTTATTAATTTCATATTACGAAGTTGAACCGAATTTGTTGGAGCTCGAAACATACTACTTGTTGTTTCTATAGGATTAAAGTGATCCTACAAGCGTTTTGGAGTAATATATTTCCAAAAATTTTTTTTTTTTTAACTTGCTTTAATGAAAGCAATAATCACTTAGGTTAAAAACTCTACTTACTAAATTTGTAATGAAATTTTTCGTTTGTTTATATGGGTGAGAAGACAAGTAATTTAGTATTCGATCGCTGGTGTTAGGTTTTTTAAACAAATTAACAAAGTCACCAATCAGCACGAGTTATCATTAAGTCCAAAAAGGCAATATACCTTTATTTTTCTAGTTCAACAGTAAATTTAACAGTACTATCAGTTTTATTCATAGTTTCCAGCAACTTTGAACATCTTTTCTGCCATAAAACATTCCTTATAGAATTTGTTCTTTTTGCTGTTCATACAACAACATACTTCTTAAGAAATTTTGACCTTACTTGTGCCATTTTTTTATTAACTTAGATATTATTTTATTTATAGATATATCCGCTATGTACTTAGCGCAGTTGAACAGAAAATGAGCGTCATAGGATCTTGTTGGTAGCGACATCTTTTTTATGTTACCTCGTATGGGAGGTTGCCACAAAACATTGCATACCAGATATCTTACAAAAAAAAGTTGCGTTAAGGCCTGAATTTATCTGTACCCTGCAGTGGTTTTATGTTTGAAAAAGGCATTTAGGGTTATGAAGTGGAATCAAAAATTTGGTCAACGACTTGATTCAAGTCTATCGCCTCCACTCCTCAGGTTGTTCAACATTGAATTTTTTTGACGACCCTTATTTTTGATCCTCACAAATCAACAGATTGCATTACAAAAAGAGATTTGCTGGGTCATTTTAAAAATGTGTTAAGACAGGAATTAAAGTGGTGGAATTGAAACATGAAATCGTATGTATAATATGGAATGGAAGGGGGATGAGTGAGTGCTATTGTTTCAAATAATTCTATGTGAGAATTTAAAATTATTGATCAAGAAAATAGTTAACTTCGCCGGAAAAATACTTTGTTCACCTAAACTGAATTACGAACCGCCGATTTTGCGGTGGGAAATATGCAGATGAAGCAATTTTAAATCTGAACATTCCGTATGGAAAGGTGTATTTTGAATCTAGAACTTTTTTTTAACTAACACAATTTATATTTTAACTCAATTATATTTAGTGTCTGAGGGACCAAATTCTTCTTTCAATTAATTAACATTGTTATGTAAGGTTTTGGTTGATGTGAAAAAGTAAGTGTCACGAGCGGGATTCGAACCCACGACCTTCGGCTCAATCCGCCGCTGCTCTAACTATTTTTGACACGATAGCTCAAGTGGTTAGAGCGTCTTGAGCCTAAGGTCGTGGGTTCGAATCCCGCTCGTGACACTATTTTTTTCATTTCAATCAAAACTTATATTTTAACCTTTACCCTTAGAGGTTTTCTCCCTTAGGGCTACTTGTGTTCGAGAGAGGGAAGCAAACTTTTTAAATTCAAGTAAAAACGAACAGAATATCAGCCTTATTTCATTGCACTGTATCGACCCCCTTTCCGAAGAATATGACTGTCATCGTTCTCCCCAGTTGGTACTTGGTTTAGAATTCGTTTTTAAGGAATTTACTATTGTTATTCTTACACACTTTTTAATATTGAGAATACCTTTCCCGAAACCAATAGATCGCAATATTACATCATTTTGTGAAAATATCAACTATTATCGTCCTCTCTTCATTTTGAAGCTGTCGCTTAGATAGAATCGAATGTTAATGAGTCATGAATAATATCATCCATGTGAAAATGTATGGAACCATTTTCTGCTCATACATTTTCAAATTTGTCGTTTTCCCAACCCCGATGTCGAACGGGTGTTTTCAAAGGATTTGTCAACAGGCACATTTATGTCCACCGGTTGACCTTTTCGTATACGTCCGAGCAATTATTTGAAAACTGACAAATCGTTTGACAGCGTGGCTTATTTATTCCTGGTAAATGGCAGATTTTTCATTTTACCAAATCTAAATTCGTTTAATTAATCTATAGGGGGTCACGATAACCCCCAGGATATCGCATTAGATACCGCATATGGAGAAACCCATTATAATTCCTTATAAAAGGATTGTTGACAGATTGGAGCTATCGTTTATTAGATTTATGTTAAGGTCTTAATTGGGTGTGTCTTTTGTAAATTTATGCAATCAAAAATAAGTCAATCTTATTGTCCAAATTGGAATTATTCAACATAACTTAAAAGACATAAAGATGTACTCTTTGTAGGGAAGATATTTTTTCTCGTAAAATTCAAAACATCTGC